TTCTTCCAAGTGAAGGCAAATCTCTTAAAATCAGGACTAATTACTGTATTTTCTCACATACAAAGCACTGCTGCTGGGAACTGGAGTGCGCATTATACATGAGAAATGTGGTAAGAGCAGTTTCTGCTGCTTGCCAGGCAAAAGCAAAAGTAAAATCTGCCTGTGATGTATAAGGAGCAGAGCAATAAGCAGGCTCAGCTCCCTAGCTGCTGCTACTCAGTCCCTTACTACGAGGAAAGGCCTTTTCCCCCTTTATTCTGCCTTTCAGAAATAAGGTGCCTATATTATTCTGGGGTGTGTTGTATTAAAAAAAAATATGGTATTTAGCTTTTCTAGGAAATAAAAGCTTTATGGGATACACCAGCAGGTGGGCTCAGTGACAATCTAACCTAAGCAAAAAGCACCAAGAAATCTTTTTGGGTGTTGACATTTTCTCCACATTACCATTATATAATATCTATGTGCCCCCTTCCTTCTGCTCAGCTCAAGGTGCTGCACAGAACAGGCTAGACTCCCCCATTTTACAGATGGAAAAACCGAGGCCAAAACATTACTAAAGGTCAGAGCAGAGCTAGGAATGGAGCTTCGGTATGTGGAGGGCAGGTCAGCGTGCTACCTCTCCATACCACTCCCTTACCCTGGGCCTCACTATTTCTTATAAGGCCTAAGGGCGGTTCAGGCAAGGGAGGATGTAACAACTGCAGCAGCCACCATGGCTCATTACTTAGGGCCGGATCTGGGAACTTTGTGACACTCTCCTAGTATTTGAGCTAAAAGAGCAGCTCCTGTAGCCACTCTGAATTAAAGAGCGATTTGGACTTGGGGCTCACACATCCAGAGGGAGACAGCAGCACCATCTCCTTCCCTGCCCAATGGGTGTTTTTTTTAACTCTAAAATTAATCACGGAATTTGACCCATGGGGGTCAACTGAAACTGCATTTTCCAGAAAACAAACGATTAACAAGCAGAAAAACAGTCCCAGATTTAAGCTGGCATGTTCCCTACCAACGGCAGGAGACAGTTTGAGATGAACTGAAGCCTGTCAAGTGTCAGCACCACCCGCTGCTGATAGCATGCAGTTATGGACATAACTGGACAAGACTCAAGACAATTGGGATAACCCAACCATGCAAGTTGCTGTTCACGTACCAGGCATGGCTAGTCAAGGTGCCTGCTTCTAGCACAGAGGCTCTGTGCTCAGACGCTATCTGGAAACCACTCGTTTCACTTTCCCAGCTGAACACTGGGTGGCAGAGTGGTAACCATGAAAGAGCAAAGTATGGCAAATACGCCGAAGACAGTGAGGATAGAAAGGCAACTCTGCAGGGAAGTAAAGAAAAGACAAGGGCTTGTATACAGATCCCAGCCAGCTTTTGACAGTGTTGCCCAATAAGCATCCCTCATCTTGGTCTGAAGCCAGGCACAGCATCAGCTGAGCAGCCTGCTTACAGCCTCGTTAAATAGGCCTGGAGATTTTCAATCTCTCTCTCCCTTTCAGATGGTGTAAAATCCAACGGGCACCTCTCCCCTAAGTGATTTCAGCCTCACCTCTTGTCGCTTGCGGTTCAATTCTAACATCTGCAGCTTGTGCAAGTGCTGTCGTCTTCCTGTGGAGTGTGTCACGGCCTGTACTCTCTTCTCCCAGTTCTTACAAGGAATTAAAAAAAATACCATTAACAAGACAAAATCATCTGCTAACTGCTATAAAATCCATCCCCCATCCCTTCAATGCCTGAAGAGCATGCTTATTGGGTATAGAGGAGTGCAGCTTCCTCAATATTGCCAGTTCTCACAATCTTCTTGCAATACTTTGACATTTATCCTTACAACTCCAGCTGGTGGAATCTCATTATCACTGGAGATTTTTTTTTTATTTTGTTTTGGTTTTAAATGAGTAAGTTTCTAGCCCTCCTGGTTAGGGAGGAAAACTTGAAAACGTGACCCATACACATACCTACACCACATGGCAAATAAAAGAAGCCTTCAATGTATTTTGTCAGATCTTGTCATTTTAAAGTCAACCTTATGGGCTTTTACACAGACAGATTCATCATTGCTTAATGCTTGAGGTTGGCAAGACTGTTTTGCTGTTCCATTGTTTTAATATAGTCATTTCACTGTGGTTTATGCATGCGATAGCTGGATATGACTTTGCAGAGAAAGACAATGAGTCACCAGGAGCAAAACACCACTACCATTTCTGCATGCCTAACTAGAGATTGGTAGGACCTGATTGTTCAAGGTACTGCCATAGCCATCAAAACCAATTGTTATAAATAAATGAAGAGTTAAATCAGAATTAATCCTGTCGGCTGTACAATCCAGCCCTACCGCATCAAGGTATGGTGTGAGCTCTCACTGCCTTCAGAAGTCAATTGCCATCACTTGGAGGTCAAGGGACTTAGCACTTCCGCAAATTGGGCCTTAAGGTTTAGATCCTCAAAGGTATTTAAGGATACCTATACATGTGCCAGGTGTCTTCTCCGACACATGCTAATTGGCATGCATTGGAGCAGACTCAGTTAATGGAGTCTGCTGGAGTGTGTTAATTAGCGTGCTCCAGGGGCCCGTGTCATGTCTATTCAGCATCCTCATGCTTCAAAATGGCAAAGGGGGTGCTTTAACTAAAGCTCATCAAATGAGCTTTAGTTCAAGTGCCCCTGCTGCCATTTTAAAGTGTGGGACACTGAATACATGTGACGCTGTGGGCACTTTAATTAGAGTGGCTCTCGGAGCTGATCTAATTAAAGTATCCATCCCTCCACCCCGAAGCATGTGTATAGATGCCCCATGTGCCTAATCCCCACTTTGCTGACACCTTTCTGGGTTTGGGTGTGCAGAGCAGGAGTTGGTGAGTGGGACATTTCTCTTGGGGATGCCACAGAAAGGGTCTAGATATGCTCTTTGGGTAGAAAATTCACCCTCCTGTATTACCCTCCTGGTTAGAAGTTGCTAAAAGCAGGGCTCATCCAGAGCTCCGTGAAGTCAGTGCAAAACTCTCATTGACTTCAGGGAGCTTTTAGATTGGTCCCTGTAATGAACTGAAGCACGATGTTTGGAAAGTAGCACCCTGCTTGTATTTCCCAGGGGGTTGGCACTCCTGGAATGAGCTGATTTCCCCAGCAGTTCCCCCAATTTTCTGGTGATACCCACCTTTGCTTTTTGTGCTGCTTCCTGCTCTTGCGGTCTCCAGCGTGCCTCTGAAGTGATCACTGGCGGCAGGTCAATAGGTTCAAGCTTCTACAAACCCAATATTTATAAGGGTCAGGCTTTCTCATTCCAAGCGATCATAAAACACCAAAGCCAAATGTTAAACAGCCTCGACATCTCTCTCCAGCTCTGATTCTGGCAGTGGAGGCCCAGAGTAGACTCAGGAGACCTGCATCCTTGACAAATGCTCTCAGATCTTATGTGCATTTTGGATCACAGTAATAGTTGGAACACACTTGTGAAGGGCCACGGCTTTGTGAGCTGCCTGAACTGAGGAAATGCTCAAAATGCAAGTTAAAGAGCATTTTGGCTGCCTTTTGGCTTCATTGCTACAATAAAAGCTGGCTAATTCCTTACCCCATGGGGACTGGTAATGAGGACTGACTATGCAGAAGTGACTAATTATCAGTAGCCAGCCATTTTCAACTTCTTGTGAGATGTTTTCTGTATGCTCTATCAAGACACAACAAAGACAAATTTTCAACATTTATAATGTACCCAAAATATAGTACAAAAATGTTGTACGGTTGATGTTCCACCAATCAAGCTAGCCTTTGTTCTGCAATTGTGCTGTCTGTTAGCTGCTTTTGGTGATGAAGCTCCTTATTTCAAAGCCTGCAGGTTGCTTTAAACTCATTACAACTAAGTTATGTTTGTTTTTGCTTCAAGCTTAAACTAAGTAGTGTAGGCCCCCAGTGTATTTTTAATGTTTCAAGTTATTTGTAACTGAAGACATACATGTATTGTTTTATATGTGATGATTCTCCTCACTATCTGCAACCACCTTTTCAAACTTCTAGATCTGCCCATGTACATTTATGAGACTTGTAGGATGATTATTTTAAAAATCAAAGCTTAATGCACAAGATCTTGGGCAGTACACAGTAGGATGCAGTATTACAAGGACAAGTGCAGAGAGCTGCACCTTGGGTGCAAAAAATATCCAGCACATCTATTGGCTGGGATGCGACCCTCTCAGCAGCACAGAAGGAGAAAGGGATCTAGGAGTCATAGTGGACTCCAAGATGAACACGAGTCACTAGCGTGACAAAATCATCAGCAAACCTAACTGGACTTTATCATGCATCAGCAGATGCATGACAAATAGATCCAAGGAGGTGATGGTTCCCCCCTATGCGGCACTGGTTAGACCGCAGTTGAAGTATAGCGTCCAGTTCTGGGTGCTGCACTTCAGGAGGGATGTTGATAGACTTGAGAGGGTCCAGAGGAGGGCCACTTGCATGGTTAGGGGCTTACAGGACAAGTCCTATGAGGAGAGACTGAGAGACCTGGACCTCTTCAGCCTCCGCAAGAGAAGGCTGAGAGGGGATCTTGTGGCCGCCTACAAATTCATTAGGGGGACGGAGCAAGGGATCGGAGATGCTCTGTGCACCAGGGCATCTCTTGGGGTAACAAGGAACAATGGTCACAAACTGACAGAGAGCAGATTTAGGCTAGATGTCAGGAAAAACTTCTTCACAGTAAGGGTGGCCAAAACTTGGAATGGGCTTCCAAGGGAGGTGGTGCTCTCCTCTCCCTTGGGGTCTTTAAGAGAAGACTGGATAGGCATCTAGCTGGGGTCATCTGACCCCAGCGCTCTTTCCTCCCTAGGTAGGGGGTTGGACTCAATGATCTGTTAAGGTCCTTTCCAACCCTAGCATCTATGAATCTATGAATCTATTAATCTTATCACTGTAGAGTGCTCCCTACATAGGAATGATATGATTGTGAGGGAGTAAAATAATCAGTCCAATATTTTTGCTCTGCACTCTCACATGAACTCATTGCCAGTATAAAAGATAATTCTGCAAAATGAAAGAGTTGATCATCTATGTCTTGCTGAGCCAAGAAAAGCTGAAGAGTATCCAGTGCTTTGAATGCAACAGCTAGCTTGATGGGTGCTATGGAGGATACCAGTCTATGCTTTTTAGGCTGACTAATTATCCAAAGCAAATTCCAGTGTGATGTAGTATGCATCAACATTTGGGAATGATTATCTACTCTTTAACAGGAGATGAATGAGCCAGTGTTTTGTGTACAAATTAATAGGACTCTGACAGGGATTCAGTTCATCAGCTAATAGGACACTAGTGATACGTTTTCCCAGTACCCAATTATTTTTTCCCATAATATTTGCTACTGATGACAATTTTCCAAGCACATTTGGTTCTTAAAGACATTTAATTAACACTATAGAATGTGCTATTACCCAGCTGTTTGAGTATCCAAATATCTATCCTGGGTACAAAGAGGATTTAAAAGCTAAAGATAACTTCCTGGGCAGCTATAAATATGGAGTTAGTTTTTAAGGTATTAAGATACCTGCTTATCTTGTACCAAATTACAGAAAGATAATGAAATCCTCTATTGCTTCAGAACTCTTCGGAGGTATTTCTAGTGCTGGAATGCAATCTTACTCCCATAAAATCTCTCAATAACTGCAACCAGAAGAAAACTGGACTCACATTTAATACTGGACAGTAACCTCTGGGAGGATTAACACCATTTTGTCTTCCCACCCCCTAAACTGTGACACTATTTTGGCTATAAGTTTTGAATCATGGCCAAGGACTAGGATTTTGAGCGGCATATAAGCAAATGGAGTAATCAAGACACAGGTTTAAGTCTGTCACTTAATGCAAAACAGGAAATACAAAGGGATGGGCCTGGGCAGGAGCAGACGTATCCTGCATATCAACTGGAGGATTGGGCCAAAAGGAATCTCATGAGGTTCAATAAGGACATGTGCAAAGTCCTGCACTTAGGACGGAGCAATCATGTGCACTGGTACAGCTGGGGGGGCCACTGGCTAAGCAGTGGATCTGCAGAAAAGCACCTGGGGGTGACAGCAGACAAGGAACTGAATATGAGCCAACAGTGTGCCCTTGTTGCCAAGGAGGTTAACAGCATCCTGGGATGCATTAGTAAAAGTGTTGGCAGCAGATGAAGGGAAGTGATTCTCCCCCTCTGTTAGGCTCTGGTGAGGCCAGATCTAGAGTACCATGTCCAGTTTTGGGCCCCCCACTACAGAAAAGTTGTGGACAAATAGGAAAGAGTCCAGCAAAGGGCAATGACAATGTTTATGGGGCTGGGGCACAGGGTTTCTGAAGAGAGGTTGAGGGAAATGGGCTTATTTAGTCTAGAGAAAGGAAGACTGAAGGGGGATTTAATAGGGGTTGGTCCCAAAGAGGAAGGAGCTGTGCTGTTCCCAGTGGGGGCAGATGACAGAATAAGAGCAATGGGCTCAAGATGCAGCGAGGGAGGTTTAGGTTAGATATTAGGAAGAATTTTCTCAGGAGGAGGTTAATAAAACACTGGAACAAGTTACCCAGAGAGGTGGTGCAATCTCCATCCTTGGAAGTTTTAAAGCCCTGGCTAGATAAAGCCTTGGCTGGGATACTATAGTTAGGGCTGGTCCTGCTCTAAGCAGGGGGTTGGACTAAATGACCTCTTGAGGCCCCTTCCAACCCACGTCTTCAATGATTCTAAATCTCAGAATTAATCCACGATGCTTTTGTGTATCTATTATATCGCTTTTATGGCTCCTTCCAACCCATTAAAGGCATTTGATGGGTTTTGAATTTGGTCCTTTTCTCTTTGGGTCATACTCCTGCAGCTTTCAATAGGCTTCAGATCAGCCCCATAGACATCTCCATGTTCATATACACTGTTCCTGCTTTAGGAAGAAGTACTGGAGGAAATTGATAAACTAAATAGTGGCAAATTGCTAGGACTGGATGGTCTATGCCTAAGTAACCCAAACTTGAAAATGCATATCTCCTGACTTCGGTATGTAACTTGTCATGAAAACTGCCTCTGTGTCAAAGGACTGGGGTTAGCCAGTGTAACGCCTAGCTTTAAAAAGGGCTCCAGAGGTGATCCAAGGAACTACAGAGCAGTGAGCTAAACTTCTGGTCCTGTGAAATCAGCAGAAACCGTAATAAAACCAGGATTTTCTCCAGGTTTGGTACTGATAGCGATAACCCTTGCAAAATTTGGAAACCTCCAGTTTCTGCAAACCTGGTGCAGCGCTGTGATCGTCGTCTTGCTATGCGGTGCTCTAGGAAGCAGCAAACCCTGCTTTGGTGTTGTGTAGGTGCACTCGCACACACACGTACCTCTTTCATCTGGGATGTTTTGAATTGTCCAGTGTCGTCTGTAAGCTTTGGTCTGTTTTTCAGGCAGCGATATTAATTTGCCCCATGTCCTTGTGCCCCAGGTATTCAGCTTTTGCTTATGGTTAAGCCATTAGCCTCTAGTTTTCCCTTCAGCATCAAATGGTATACCGTAAATATGGACACGTGGCCGTGCTGCCTCCCGTCAGCATACACAGCGTGCAGTGACAGAGCCAGCTCGGTATCAGAAGGGCTCTTCCCCCTCGGGTCTGCCTCTCTGGAGTGCAGGTATCTCTCTGGCTTTGAGGTTTCTTCTCAGCAAAGCCTGTTTTAGACAACGAGTATGTTCCCCATTGCAAGTAAGTTAAAGAAGAATCAGGTCTTTCCATCCCCCCACCCCTTTTGACCGAATTACATTGTGGTGGACGGTGTTCAGCAGATGTTTTTCGTTCTTTGTGAATAAATATCTGGTTGAAAATCAAACAGAGTTTATTCTCTGCAGAGCAGAGGGTGTGTTTTAATCTTGTATTTGACATGCAGATGCTTTTATTATTTAGGTTATTATGAGGTCCTCCATACCCTTCATGTAAGGGAGGGGAAAGAAACAATTAAGCTTTTTTATGGAGACCAGTAGCTGAATAAATAGGGATGGCCAACCAAGAAAAGGAATGGGCAAAGCTGTTTAAGACTTTAATTTTTTGGGTGGAGAGGCCTGAGTGGATCTTATTTGATTGGGGGGCAGGGAAGGGTATGTGTGTGTATGCACGTGCATGTGGTGTGCATGAGTGTGTGTTTCTGAGAAAGTAAACTGAGTGTAAGTAAAAAGTGGGAGTACATTCAAGAAAGACCTCATCCCCCCGGCAATTCCACCATCGGCCTGAAACCTTTCACAAATCCTATATTTGCGCCTCACTG